AAACTTGCAACGATCTTCCTGCCTCAGCCTCCCAAGTACTGGGATTACAGGCATGTGCCACCACACCCAGCTCTCAGACTGACATTAAAACCAGTGGTCAGGAGTATTCACATTTTCTGCCAGTATCAAATATTTGAGACCAATACATGCTAGGTATAGGGTTAAGTGCTTTATAGGCACTATCTGATTTTGCCGTCACCTTTTATAACATGAGGGTTTAGCAAGTTGGGATAGCTTATTCAAGGTCACAAGGCTAACACCTCAGTGTGCCTCAAGTTTTCCTCCTTGTGTTAACCTCTGCAATGTCTGAGGGGCTCCCTCTTATTTGAAGGTCATCACTTTGGGAAGAGTGGATTTTTTAGCATTGACAGTACTTCTCTTTTGAAAGAGGAAATTTTTATTAGTCATTTTCTTATTAGTAGAAATAACATTTTTACATTAGTACATAACAAGTTGCCTTGCTGTTGCTTACTACTTTAGCCATTTGAATTCTCATAATTTTCTGCCTTGTTGTGTAATAAGCAATGAGTAACATATCTTGGATAGAAAGAAATCTGTTTATATTCTAAGTGGATCTCAAGTTTCCCAGCTTGGGAAAGATTAATGATTGCATTACATGTTTAATGCTGTTGATGTAAGTAGACAAGTCTCCTAGGTGGAGTGAAAAAGGTGGACCAGTAGCATTAGGGTATTCTTGCTTTTGTGACTCCGTGTGTGTGTGTGTGTGTGTGTGTGTGTGTGTGTGTGTGTGTGTGGCGGGGGGGTATTTGGGATTGAGTCTGTATGAGCCAAATGCTCTACTACTGGGCTGGGATTCTAGGCAAGTACCACTGTGCTGGACCCTTCCACCATCTTAAATGGACTTTTGACTTTTTAACACTTTCTAAATATTCTCTATTTCTACTCCAAGATTCAAGTGAGCTGGTATAGAAATATTGCTGGTGAGGATTTTAAAAACCAAACTCACATTTAGGTAGAAGAGTTAATTGCAAATAAGATAATCAGAATTCAGTTTAACTGGAAGTTTAATGTTTTTTTAAAGTGTAAACTGTATCTCAACATACCTCTTTTATCATGTAGCCACTCAATTAAAAAAAAAAGTTAAAAACCTTACTAAAGCTGGCTTGGAGGAGAGAAATGGTTGTGGGTAGAGTGGGAGAGGTGTGTGTGTGTAAGTGAGTAAGTATGCACACATTTTCTCCACTGGCCCATCAACTCTTTTTATTCTGCAGTGGACAAGATATGGTGAGCATCCTACAGCTGGTTCAGAATCTGATGCATGGAGATGACGATGTGGAGCCCCAGAGTACCCGGTAATGGAGAATGATTGCCAACTCCCCTTTGAAAGTCTGTGTGTTCTTGATTTCATTAGCAATTCCATTCTGACAAGTGACGCTAATAAGAAATTGTGTATTGCATTAAGAGTTCGTATCATAGTGAGATCTTTTCTCATTTCAAAAATAATTCATGTATTTTAGGTAATATATTTTGTAAAAGGAAGGCATTTACTAAAATTAGATCTAACCAGGCATGTTGGTACACATCTGTAATCCCAGCATGCAGGAGGCTGAGGCAGTAGGATTGCCATGAGTTCAAGGCCAGCCTAAATTACATAATGAGACCCTGTCTCAGAAAAAATAATATTTCAATAAATAAGTAAAATTAGATCCTATAATTTTTATCATATGGGGTCCTACCAAAGGGGCCTCCAGAAGGACTGGAAAATAAGTGTGTGCTTTTCCACTTCTGCTTGCTAGAATTGCTGCAGTTTGATTGGTGATAATTCACGTTGTGTGGGAATCATCCAGGTGTTTTATTTATTCATCTATTTAGCTATCTAATTTCATTTTGTCTTTAATGTTTTAAATTTTTGTAATAATGTGTTCTTACTCAGAATTCAGTAGATGAAAAAGGGTACATACAAAGAGTTTTCCTTTCTACGTCTGCCTCCTGGATTCTCTTTCCTACAGATAGACAGTATTACCAGTTTCTTTTATATGCTTCATTCCCTAGATTACATGTGTGTATACACAAGCAAAATGTCTATACCCATCCTTTCCAAAACATAATATGCCCATGGTCAGCACCCTGCTTTTTTCCCACTCTGCCAGAGTTCACTGCGTATGAGCCAAAAGGAGCTTTACCTTTCAGAGGTATTTACTTTGAATGATTGACCTGTATTTTATTTAACTAGTCTCCTGTTCATATTTTATTGGAAAAAACTTCACTGCAGCTAGTGACTTTGGACATGTCATTTCTCCCCACTCTCCTTTTCTTTCTTTTGATAGTAGGGACTGAACTCAGGACCTTTACACTGAGCTACTTCCCCAGCTTTTTAAAATTTTGAGATTGTCTCAAAGTTACTAAGTTGCCCAAGTTGTTTTTTTCATTTTGGTACTGGGAATCGAACTCAGGACCTTGTGTGCCAGGCAGGCACTGTGCCACTAAACTATATCCCCAGTCCCCAAGTTGGACTCAAACTGTGCTCCTGCCTCAGACTCCCAGAGTACTGGGATTTTAGGTATATGCTATCACACCTGGGATATTAGGTGTATGCTAAGAATGTGTCATTTCTTACAAGGCAAATGTCTAGAGGGTGAAATCTTAGAAATGTGATTGGGGGTAAGGTAGTATGTTCATTTGGAATTCCAACAGATAGTACTGTATTTTCCTCTTTGGAGTTACGCTAGTTCACAGTCCCATTAGTAATATATGAAAATATTTCATTTCCCATATCTTTGCCTGCAATGGTGTTATCAAATTTAAGGGTCTTTAATAATTGAAAAGCTGTATTCTGGTGAGATATTTCAGCATAATTTAAAATTATTTTTCTTATGAATCAGGTTAAGTCTCTTTATGTATATTTTAAGACTTATAGTATTTGTATTTCCTTTTTTGTGAACTGTCTTGTGCCCATGATCTTATTTGGTTCTTTGTGTTTTTCTTATTGTTGACAGTTAGTAGTTGTAACTTATTTCTTGTATTTATAGTTATTCTTTATAAAGGAAATTGATCCATCCATTTTAATTAAATGTAAAACAAAAAAGTACCTAACTTCCCTTGAATGTGCTGTATTATTTTCAGTACATCTGATGCCAGAAATTGATCTCTAGTAATTTTAGAAGTGTTTTCTACTCATTTTATCCTAGTTATACCCTTCTTTTTTTTTGGTTTGGTTTGGTTTTAGTTTAGGGGTTAGATCCCGGGGCCTAGTGCCTGGTAGGCAAATGCTTTGCCACTGAGCTGTAGCCCTCCAGCCCCTCCTCTGTACTTCTTAAGGCTGATATTTAATATCTTAAAAGGAAATTATTTGAAAGTGGTTTGCATATGCTCAATAAAGGGTATTTATTTTTTCATTTAAGGACTTTAGGATTGAGAACACTTCTTTCCAAAAGCTACAAATAAATCTTCTCTTCTAAAAGAGGGATGATTAACTCTACATAGAATACCCCAAAAACTCCACGAAAAGACTTCTAAATTTAATAACCCAATTCAGTAGCATAGCAGGATACAAAGTCGGCACTCAGAAATTAATAGTATTCTTGTACACAAACAACAAACTCACTGAGAGAGAAATTAGGGAAGCCACACCCTTCACAATATCATCCAAAAATATGGAAAACTTAGGTATCAATCTAACAAAGTAAGTAAAAGATGTATACATTGAAAATTACAGCACTGTGAAAAAAGAGATTGAAGAGGATTTCAGAAAATGGAAAGATATTCTTTGCTCATCAATAGGAAGAACCAACATTGTGAAAATGGCCATACTCCCAAAATTGTTGAACAGATTTAATGCAATCCTGGTCAAAATCCCATTAGCATAACTCACAGATCTGGAGAAAACATTCCTAAAATTCATCTGGAACCCGAAGTGACCTAGAATAGCAATGGCAATCCTAAGAAACAAAAGCAAGGCAGGAGACATCACAATCCCTGACTTGAAATTATACTACAAAGTCCCTGTAATAAAATAAGCATGGTACTTGGCAGAAAAACAGACCTGAGGATGAAGGGAACAGATTAGAAGATGCAGACACAACTACAAACACACTCAGCCCTCTTATCTTTGACAAAGGGGCCAAACATGTTCCCTGGAAGAAAAATAGCCTCTTTAATAAATGGTGCTGGAAAAACTGGATCTCCACATTCCAGAGACTAACACTAGACCTATGTCTATCACCATGCACCAAACTCAAGTCAAAATGGATCACAGACCTAAATATTAAAACAGAAACACTAGATCTATGGGAAGAGGAAGTAGGTAGAAATCTTGAAGAGAAAGATAAGGTTTGGCAGGGAGTTCATGAACAAAAACCAAACTGCATGGGAAATACATCAAAGAATCAACAACTGGGATCTCCTCTTATTAAAAAGTTTTTGTACATTAAAAGAAATCACCGGAGTGAAAAGGAAACCCACAAATTGGGAAAAATTTTTAGCCAGCTGTCCCTTAGACAAAGGACTTCTATCTAGAACATACAAAGAATTAAAAAAAGTCAGACCCCCAAATTCAAAGACCCAATCCAAAAATGGGCATCTGAGATGAATACACACTTCCCAGATAAAGAAATACAGATGGCAAATAAATATATGAAAACATGTTCAGCATCATTGGTCATCCCAGAGATGTCAATTAAAAAACAACACTGAGATTCCATCTTACCCCAGAAAGAATGGCTGTCATCAAAAAATCAATCAGTAACACATGCTGGCGGGGCTGTGGGGAAAAAGGGTTCCTTCTTGACTGTTGGTGGGAGGGTAGACTGGTACAACCACTGTGGAAATCAGTGTGGAGATTCCTCAAAAAACTGGGATTAGAGGTCCCATTTGAC